GGATGGATGGATGGATGGATGGATGGATGGATGGATGGATGGATGGATGGATGGATGGATGGATGGATGGAGAAGTGCATTTGGGCAGAGAAGGACAGAAGGACAATCCTGATGCCGTGGCCGCAGTCCAGGCCACCAACACGCTGCAGGGAGAGTTGGGCCAAACCAGGGCAGTTCTCTGCAAAGGAAAGGTTGCTCTGAAACAAAGGGTGGCAGCTGCAGCCTAATGAGAGTTAACCTGGGGTTCAGCCCTCCATAAAACACACTCTCCACACGCTTAGCAACAGCATGAGGCACCAAGAGCAGTAAAAGAACCACAAGGTGGACAAAGCACAGCAGCCTCTCCAAGTGGTGATAAGGCTGAGGATGGACAAAGCCCTCAGCTTCCTCACATGTGCCTTAGAGGTGTTTTGAAAGACACAGCTCAGAGAACAGCTACTGATTCTCAGTACTTTGTATTAGAGTTTCACTGGACACAACTGACTGCTTTGAGCATGTATCATACCTCCTCCAGAGGTTTCAGGAAGGAAAGTTGCTTTAACCTTGCTTGGAAAAGCAGAGGATCAGAAAATCCTGTTCTGTCTACCACCTTCAAGCCCATTTTAAAACACACATTCAAATATAGGCCTATGAACAGTCCTGTTCCACATCTCCTGRAAGCATAACTCATTGGATCAAGCCCTGGAACAATCAGGCTTTTTGAGAYTTTTTTAGTATCTCCTCACAAAGCAGCCTTGCTGCAGCCATCCCTCAGCTGTAGCACTGAGCACAGCTTCCTAACACTCCATCTGTGCTGTGCTTGCTGGGACAGCAGACAGGCTCACTGCCACAGCAAAAACCTGTGGTGGAACAGGCAAAAATCTCTGCACAATCTAAGCAATGTCACGCTGGATTACAGAGAACAGAGAACAGGAGACAAGGCAGCTGTTGCTTTTATGTCAGTAATGCTACATGTCTGCAGTAATATCACCCCTGCTCTAAAAGCAAAGATTTATCATTTCAATTTAGAGCTGGCCTCTGTACATATTTCCAACCAGCAAGGAAATGATCAATTCAGAAAGCTGTCTCTGCAGGGCAGCTGTTTCACTTATCCCAGCTGCCTTCCTCTCCTGGGCCTCAGCTGCTCGTCCAGAAAATAATCTTGCTTTACTRGAACGTGCTTCACCTTTTTGGCCAGTTTGCCTGTCATGGTCTAAAGTGCATCAATCTCACGTGCTGGGGAGATGGGGAACAAAAACTGCAGCCAGACTGGGTTTTCCAGCCCACCATGGGATATCCTACAAGAGGAGATGCCCATCCCAACCCAAACCCACCCACTGTGCTCCCAGGAGCTTTGGAGATGTGGTCTGAACTTCACCTCGTGTCTCMTAACCAGACCAAACTCACCTTCATGGTGACAGTGATGGTGCTGTTGACATTTGCTTTGTGCAGCCAGCCCTGCTTTATCACACCRCCCTTCTGGGAGCACAGGGAAGAGGAATCCTGAAGGACAGCAAAAGATGAGAAAAAGAGGAGGCCAGGTRAACTGTCTCCAACAAGAAATGCCCCTTGGACAAAGGGATTTGTCTACCATGGAAAGCAACAGCATTTTAACTACAGCAATACAGTGACATGCAGAATGTATGATTAACAAAAAAAAATCAGGGCTACCTCTTTCCAATAAAGAGGCAAAACTGACCCAAATCAGTTTGGGTCAGTCACCTTTAAAAAAAGAAAGAATACATCTATGCTGATAGAGCTGCACAGCAGTGAGGCAATGTTAGCTGGTTCTTATGCAGTATTTCAAAAACCTGGGGAAGATGGAAAATTTTGAGATGATCTGTTTAGGAAGTTGCAAAATGCAAAACTCTGAACTTACTCTGTCATTTCCTTTTGTCATTCCCACATTTTACRTTTAGGCAAAAACCACCAAACCCCAATAACTGAAATGTAACTGGCTAATTTCACAGTTATCAAACAAAAAAAAAGCTTCAGGTGACTCAACCAGGCTGCTCTTGGCACCAGCCAGGGTTTCCATCCGCTCCTGTCCCTTGGTCCAGAAAGGGAGAATGGCTCTCCATTCATGCCTAACCATGACCTCCATGGGGAGGGAAATGAGAGCCCAGAGTGATGAGAAAAGCTCACCCTGGGGCTTCCAGTGACTCAGCAGCAGAGGAGCCCTGAGCTGCCTCCCCTGAGCCATGAAAGGGTTGGTTTATAGAGCTGCTGCATCCCAAGGGACAGGCTTTCACTCTTTTCATGTCAAACRTCCACAGTAAATTTTCTGATACTTTATTTCCCTGGGTTAAACAACCCATGATTTCTCCTTCATAAAGGTTCACCTTTTTTCATCAAGAGATTTCTTTTACTTGAATTTCCATTACACAATTCTAATGCAAATGCTCTGTCGGGAAACGGTAACAGAACCCTCCAGATATGGCTGTGCCAAAAGATATAAACGTCAAAACATCTGTGAAAACACTCGGAACACTCTTCCACAACAAACCTCAGTAACTCCTCTTGTTTGGGTATTTGGGACACTGGCCAGAAGAAGAAAGGTCTCCAAATTTTGATAGCACACTCTTGTCCTTTTGCTTTTTCGGAAGCACGCTGATAACAACGAACAGCAACAACTCCAGCCCAGGGCAGATATTTTTAAAGAGGCAACCCCTCGAGTTAATGATGTAATGCAAACCAACAACACAGCCAAAAAATGATTAAGGCCAAAYTTGACAAAACATTTCCATTTATAAAGAAGCCGATGCAGTCCAGAACTGAGGTGTGCTGGGACATACACAGAGATTGTGAAAAAGGAGCATGAAACAGCCCCTCCAAATCTTCAGCTCTGCAATGAAGTTCCCTTTTCCTCTCTAAGTTCCTCAGCAGCAACATCATGGTGCCAAGGGAATTTTAAACAGCTGGGCTAAACCTTTCCCTCTGTAAACAAAAACTTCCTAATGTCACGTGGTGGATTAATCTCCATGTGACTTGAAACACAAAACTCATCCCTTCTGTAGCAAATGCAATATGTGCAGGAAACATGGCATCTGCACCATCCAAAATAACCACCAGGTCTGACACATCCCAGAGGAGCTCCAGGCCTGCAAATCTTCCCTGCAACCAGCTGAGCACAAAGATTCCAACCTCCAGAGGAAGCAAAYGCCTCCCAGAATTGGCACAGTACAGACACAGTCGGCACGATGGGCAGAAGTGAGTGATGAAAAATTGCAGGTTATGGGGTAAAGCAAAAAACTTTTTAAGAGGAGGACCCCAGAACCACAGCRTAGTTGAAAAACAAGATAGCCCATTTTTAGCTTTGGACATGAAGAATTTTCCTTAGTAACCACTTGGMTTCTTTATTTTCCTTTTCCTATGATGCTGTTTCAGGGAAAAAAAGCCAAGAGAAATATGACTAATCTTCCAGATAACTTAGGAGACCCTTGGTCCAAGAGATTGCCTTCTCCTGCTTTGAAATAAATCCCTGCTTCCCTTTTGACTCCATCCTCACAGCACAAAGCATCTCACCAGAAAATTGYTCCTAGGAAMTGAATTCTGGCTTTGCTTTGTGAAATTCGCATTTTAACAGGAATATGTTAAAAAAACACCAAAAAACCAACCTTCTCCTTACCTCATCCTTTTCAAAGTCTTCATCAATTTCAAACACATGGCTAGGAATCTTGTCTGGCCTAAAGGATTTGCTGAAATCACAACACATTTTCATGTTTAATGACTGGAACACGAGGGTTGCCTGAGCCAGCAGCTGATGCTGGATCCAGAAGCAACAGCCAAACTGCAGGCTACAGAAAATAGAGCACAAAAAATAGATTGCAAGAGACCTACAGCTCCTTACAGCTGGGAGAGCTAAGTTCTGAGTGCATTTCATGGAAATTAAGCATAAGCAGTCTGTAATTAGCTTTCTCTTGTTAGCTGTCGGATTCTGCAGTTTTTGCTGACTTGCATTTACGCAACAAAGAGAGAGCACGGCAGTTTATCTTCCATCTTTACCAAAAAAAAAAGAACCAAGATCAGACTACAAGATTATTCCCAAATTTTAACATTGTTTGATCAACAGCGTTCCTCYGCTGCTGCCTTCACCTCCCCTCCAGACCCTCAGAACAGACTTCCTTCATCCAATTAAGAAGAAAAATCATTTAACAAGCTTGCAGAACAGGAGCAGCCTGGAGAGGGGTGCACAGGCACCAAGGAGAAGGSCAGGCTGCTCCTGCTGAGCCCTGTGACCACACATTAGCATTCCAAGGGAGCACGGTGCTTACCATGGCAACATCCGAAAGTCTCCCGAGTATTCCTCATATTTGTAGTTTACCACGTGCCAGTCGGAGCTGTAGGTTTTAATGCACTGAAAGGAAAACAASACAGCTCTTAGAAAGCTACAGCAAGGAAAACAAAGGCAGGCACCAGTCTGAAAGGTTACACASTGCAGGGTGAGGTAGGCAGCAGTGGGAAGGGCGCGGGCAAGGCTGCTTCGCTTGTTTTGTGTTGCAATGCAGAATTTCATGAGGAACCTTTTCAGCACAGAGACAAAAATCACACAGCATCTGGCCTGCCACACAGCCACAGATTTTGTATTTACATCGCTCCCGGGCTCTAAAAAAGGAGTAGTGATCTGGGAGGAGATGGTTTTCCATACAGCAGCAGCTCTCTGCCCTGGGAAACGCCGCGTGTTTAACTCGACACCGGACATGGCTTTGTGTCCACTCCTCTTGGAGGGAACAGTCCTGGAGAACAGCACTTCACAACAAACCCACAGCTCTCCAGGGCTCCAGGGAGGCTGTGGATCCTCAGCTCACCAGGCAGGTGCAAAGCCACACACCTTGGCTGTGTAAAAWCCCACAGCAAAGACACTCTGCACATGAGGTACCTGCGAGAGCTCTGGTGTGCAGCAGGGCTGGCAGCGCCTCCCGCAAAGGAAAAACCAAGAGATGCCAATCCTGCAGATCAGGAGCCACAGCTGRGCACCCTGCCCAGGGGACACACAGKGCTGAAGGCAGCTCTCACAGGGACCTGGCCCCTACCTCTTTGACAAAGAGACTCTGAGCTTTCTTGAGAGCATCTTCTGGCACCGTGGACTGGACAGTCCTTCTCTGCCGGCCGATGACCGAGATCTGCAGGAAAAAGGAAAACACGTTTTCAGCACAAAYTCCATCTTCAGGGCTTGACATTCACTTTTAATAAATGTGGTGGGCCGAAACCACCAGTGGGTCATTTTGGTTTCACGTGTCAGTAATGCAGCCAAAATGAGCATGTGGTTAATGGTGGAAATTTTCCAAGGTAAGCAGGACAGGAGACAACTGAGCCTCAAACATGGGAAAGAGCCAGAGCAAACTCACAGACACATCTTCGATGGGAAATATCAGCAGGTCCCGCAGGGGATCGCTGTAGATCTGAACTCTGCGTTGAAGGATCACGTTCTCATAGTCCAAAGGTTCCACCACTTTYGTTTTTTCCTGCAGGAAAAATAGAYGATGAAAAAGATCACATACATATTATATATGTATATAAAATAACCTCTAACTAACATCTTGTGCTTTATTTCACACTGTGTGACCACTGGACTGCCCATCATTCAGCACTGACACTGCTGTGCTGCAGGCAGCCACTGATGARTGTGTTTTGCAGAGAGGGCAATGAGGGGTTAAGTGATTTGTGTCTGGCAATAAGCTAYGGGAAGAAACAAAGCTCTGTGCTGCTCTGGCTCGGCACAGACTCTAATTTCCTAATGGAGCAAGAAATCCTCCTGGACAGGCCATAGCTTTAGCAGCTGCAGGATCCAGCATCTTCAAGCAGCTCATCCGTACAGAAACACRGGCTCCTGCTCTGCTCAGCCTGGGGCTGGCTTTGCTGGAGGAGCGGATGAGAGCTCTGCTCTCTCTGGAATGATGAGAGCAAGGCTGCTGCTACGACTGCCAGAGCAGGAATCAGCCCATGGGAGGAAGAACAGCATCCCTCTGGAAAGACAGGAAAGCCCTCTCCATAAATCGCACCTCAGACACAGCCAAAGGCTAGAGCCTCGATTTATTCTCACTCACATTTCTGGGAAGCCAGAGGAACTTCTCCAAAAATCTCTGGAGTCACGAGTAAAAACTATTAGAAGAGCTTCATTACGTTTGCTATTGCACTAATTTTGCCTGTGTTATAAACCCAGAAAACAGAACTTGGTAAAATGAGAAAAACACAACTTCTGGAGCAGACAAACGCCATCTCAGCTTCAGACCTCATGAGCAAGAGTCAGGCACTCAGCACTGCTTTGTGAAAATCAAACTTCACACCAAAAGCCAGCCAATGGCTCTGTACAGGAGTGGTCACAGTAACAAGGAGCCAAATTCTGACCCATCAGCTTTGCCTTGTTTTGAACCTTGCCCAAAATCCTGATGCCTGGCCCTGCCAGGGGCAGTGTCCATGAAACCCCTCCTGCAGCAGTGATTCCTGGTGCCTCTGGACATGAGATATTTGCAGGGTAACATTCTTGGGCTCTCCATCCTCAGGGCAGGAACAGCTGATGGTTCCCCATGGGCAGCAAACTTCACCCTTCTCAAATGGCTTTTTGGGGTGAGCTGCTCACACTGACTGGAGTTAAAGATGAGACCCACACGAGGTCTCTTACAGAGCACAGCACAACCTGCAGCCTAAAAACATGAGCCTAAAATGAGGACCAAAAGCTTAGCACTGTGTAACAGCACTGGATAAACAGCCACAGCACCAARAGTCCAAACAACTCAATATTTTCTGTGATGTGAGACAAGGGAAGAAGTCAACACTGCCCTTCCAAACCTGATCCTAACCAAAGGTCCTGTGCCTTTCCTGTGCCTGTGGCTCCTGAGGATCTGTGATGCATTAATGAAACACCTCACATAGTTTTGCATTCAAAATGTCTCTTTTCCATGCTGCAGGAGCCCAGCATGAATTAGCTCAGTTATGTGAAAAAATTCCCTTCTTAATCASTCTCTGAAAACTTTGCTTCACTGCTTGCACAGTCCTGAAAGGAACCTCACACTCCKCAGATTACCAGAGAGAAAGACAAAGGTCAGTCAGCAGGGAGCCCAGGCTGGGTGCCAGAGCATCCAGGGGGTGCTGCCTGCTCCCCTCAGCCATGGGGGTTTGGGAATGGGGAATTCTGCCAGTCCCACTGCCATCAGAGCAATTCTTGCCTCTGCATCCAAGACCTAAGCTGTATGGGGATTTAAAAGAAAAGAAAGAGCCCATCTGGAAAGTAGGAGCCTGAAAAACCCAACAGGTAGACAGAGAAAGGAATTCATTTACTCTCAGTCAGTCTCATGCTCGTCAAATGCTTAATTGAATTTGGTTAATCATGTGAAACACCGGTCTTATTTCAGGCACTTCTGAAAGTCTGCTCAGCTTTGCAAATGAATGTGAATTAACAGGACATCCATTCTGAGGTCTGGGGCCCCCAGGATTGTCCTTCCCCCAAGAGCAGGCACACAGCTCTGCCAGCCTCTCTGATTTACTGCAGAAATCCTGGCCAAACTCAGCAGCAYGGGTGGGTTAAAGCAGTGCCACGACCCCCAGAGCTCAAACCAGCCCCGCTCTCACCTCACCCTGCAGCAGCTCCAACAGTAAATTTGWGTCCCTCCATGAGCCTTCCACTCTCTTTGGGTACACTGAACTCAGCCATTCCACAGTATTTTTAGTCCCTTTTTAACTTTGCAGCATGGTCCTGAAACTAGGACTGTGTTTCTAAAGCTGTCCTTTTTAAAGTTGGGGCTTTGATGACATTTCTTTTCTCAATCCGACACCTCTGATGACCAGCAAGACAAAGTCCTGCAGTCACCCTCATGGGATTCAATGACAACTAGAGGGTAAGAGCTGAAGAGGATCCCAGATCCTCACCTGAGATGTTTCAAAACTTACAGAGCACTGCCTACCACAAATATGAAAAAAAAAAAAAAATCCTTAAAACTTGCTACAGCCCTTCCATTCTCATGGATGAAATGATATTGGAAACAGTGTGTGGTGCAGGCTGGGATTTGTGTCCAACAAACCCTGCAGCACCCATTGGATGTCCCAGGGATGGAGGGACGTGCTCTGCCACCCAGGTGGGCTCTGCAGCACCCAGACAGGAGTTTGGAGCTGTGACAAACACAGTCCCTGGAGCTCCCCTTGCCCCAGGGGTGCGAATTCCCTGTCTCGGCACCCAGAGCCCCTCCATTCCCTGCAGCTCAGTGTCACTCTGACCACGCTCACCCCAGCACATCCCCCAGGCTGCCACAGGCACAGCAGGAACCACGGACACATCTCCACAGCAAAGCCAGGAGATGCAGGGCATGCTGTTTGTCAGCAGAGCAGCTGCTCAGGGCAGGATGTGGCTGCTGCCTGCTCTCGAGGAACAAACCCCTCCATCCATCCTGCACGGAGCTGCCCATGGGGCCGGGCACCCTGCAAACACACCTGGGCACTGAGGAGGGAGCCATCCCAAATACCTGCTGCCCTTCAGCCCAGCCAGGCTGGAGATAAAGCTCTAAATGCTSAAAATGGGATTTCAAAGTCTTAATTTTGCAGAAGGTTGAAGTGCACACCCTGCACCACCCAGGCTCAGCTCACAGTGCCCAGCACTGTCACAACAGCAGATGGCACCCACCAAAGTCATTACGAAAGCAGAGGAAAAACTATTACACTAAAGTAATTAGAGTCTTAGAAACCACAAATTCCTCCACAGGGGAAGCCAATAGCCAAGCACGAAGAAATGCTGCCAGTCCAGCAACAAAATCAATGCATTCTGCAGGAAAAAAACAGGCAGCACTGCCAAAGGCATCCTGCTCTGTGGCACAGAGAGCTGCTCTCCACCCAGGGCAGGCAGACCCTGCTCTGTGATGCTCCTGGGCTACTCTGGGCTACTCTGGGCTACTCTGGGCTACTCTGGGTTCCTGGTGGCTCAGCAGGGCAGGCTGGGGTGAGCTGCCCTCTCTGTGGCTCCTGTGGATGCCCCAGCAGTGACTCCCAGCCCAAAACACTGCTGTGCTGTACTGGGATAAAAACCACACGAAATACCTCAGAGAAAAATAAACATGATTTTAAACAAAGATAACGTGAGAGCAGCRCACCCTCCCAGAGGAGCCCACTCACCCCTCCTAAAAAACCCCAGGTCTGAGCCCCACAGAGCAGCCTGTCCCCAAAAACACCCAGCCAGTGTTGTCTGTGCCCTCTGCTCCCCCAGCACGGGCCAGGCACAGGCAGGGCTGTGCTGGAGCCCCTGGCCACGCTGGGTCACGAGGCTGTGCAGGGACAGCAGCACAGGCAAACAACAGCCTGTCTGTGGCACCAYTGACTCCCCAGCACAGGCCAGCTGGCTGGCATTTCCACAGGAAATTCAGAGAAATGAATTTTTCAACAGAAACATGCCCACCACACCAACGCAGGGCTCTGCCTTTGGCCAACACGAGCACAGAGTTTGGCTCCAGGGAAACCCCCAGCAAGATCCTTGTCCCCAGTGCCCTGCTGGTCCCACTGCCAGCCCGAGCACAAASCCCCTGCAAGACACAAACCAGCAAAGGAAAGGCTGAGCAAGAGAATTTCTCCTTAACAAAGAGGGGGATACTTAAGGCAGATTAAACTGCCACCTTTCTGCATCCGTTTTGTAAATATAAAATTCCTTTAATTTGCTTTATAAACAAAGGCTCACAAAAGCTGGAGATATTCATGTCRAAAACTATGGGAAAGAACATTCCTATTTAAAACTTTCAGTGCCTGAAAAACAGTAGCCACCTGTCTTCCAGTGTTCTGCATTTGAATGCCGTACAAATGCACCGCTTTTTTTGTTACATGACTAATGTTTTTCTGAGACCCTTTCCTCCCAGAATTAGAACAGGTATAACCCAAGAGATGAGTGAATATACAGAATGAAAAACGTGACATTTGGGGATTTTTTTTTAAGCAGCAGCCAAAGGAAAACAATGAGAAATCCTTTCTATTTGCAGTCCTGAGAGATCAGCCCTCTAAAACAATATCCAGGGAAGAAAATGGCAAACCATGGTTTGSCTCCAGTGTAACCAATTTTCCGTCCCTCTGCAGTGACACGAGCCCTCGGCAGCTGCCGGTGCACAGCGGAAACCAAGCCCAGCACAACTTTCACTTCTCGTGGTCCCAACGGCCACCAAAGACACTAAAACACACACAGACACACAAAAACACACAAAAACACACACAAACACACACAGACACACTCAAACACACACAGACACACACTAAAACACAGAAACACAGACACACAAACACACTCAAACACACACCCCCGCCCTGCAACGCTTCCTCCAGGTTTTCCACTGAAAAACCTGCACATTCAGCAGCCCCCAGCATGAGATTTTTTCTCACATCCTCAGGAATGAAGCTCTACCCAGATTGTGCCCCCAGCCACTTGAAATCAGCACAAATGAACTTCAAAAGTGATGGTTCTTCAGAGCAGCTGAAGAGGGGAGAAGAAGAGCACAGATCA